AAAACAGCACATATTACAACTGTTAGACATACAGTTAACCCCTTGATTACCCCTTGATGTTAACCCCGTCCCAGCCAGTGTCATTAATACAGTGTACAGTATAACATCTGATCATTGTATTAGTGTCATTAGCGACATCAGTGTCAGTTAGTCAGTTAGTGTGCCCCTTCAACCAGTGTCAGTTAACGCCACACTTTCACAGTCCCACTAGAAGTCGTTGATCACCACCATTACGAGTATTGTGGCTATAACTGTGTATATTCCAGAATATAAACCCACAGTTTGTGGATGCTATAACTTTTACACAAATAAATTAATATACACTTTTACTAAAGACATGCAGCAGAATACATTTTGACCTAAATTTATGAAGAAATTGATTTTATCTGATATGTTTTTTAACAGAAAGTGGAAAACCTCATTTTTTCAGGATTTTTTCATTTATATAATAAAAAATAAAAATCCAGTGCTGAACAGAAGAAAGCTCTATTTGTGTGAAAATAATTACAGTTGCAAGAAAAAGTATGTGAACCCCTTGGGATTACGTAGAGTTTTGCATGAACTGGGCATAAAATGTGCTCTGAACGTCATCTAAGTCACAACAATAGAAGAACACAGTCTGCTGAACATAATACTACACAAACATTAGATGTTGCCATGGTTTAATTGCACATAACATGTAAACATTCACAGTGCAGGGAGGAAAAAGTATGTGAGGCCCTAACTTAATGACTTCTCCCAGAGCTAATTGGAGCCAGGAGTGAGCCAACCTTGACTTCAATCAGTGTGATGATATTGGATGTGTTGCTGACAGCTGTCCTGCCCTTAAAAAACACACACCTGTTTTGGGTTTACTGGTTTCAAGAAGCACTGTTTGATGTGAACCATGCCTCGCAGAAAAGAGCTCTCAGAAGACCTATGATCAAGAATTGTTGACTTGCATGAAGCTGGAAAGGGTTACAAAAGTATCTCCAAAAGCCTTGATGTTCATGTGTCCAGGGTAAGACAGACTGTCTACAAATGGAGAAGGTTTAGCACTGTTGCTACTCTCCCTAGGCGTGGTCGTCCTGTAAAAATGACTGCAAGACCACAGCGCAGAATGCTTCATGAGGTAAAGAAGAATCCCAGAGTGTCAGCTAAGACCTACAGAAATCTCTGGCACATGCTAACATTTTTGTTGACACATCTACAATAAGGAAAACATTAAACAAGAATGGAGTACATGGGAGGACACCACGGAGGAAGCCATTGCTGTCCAAAAAGAATATTGCAGCACGTTTGAAGTTTGCAAAAGAGCACCTGGATGTTCCATAGCACTACTGGCAAAATATACTGTGGACAGATGAAACCAAGATTGAGTTGTTTGGGAAGAACACACAACACTATGCGTGGAGAAAAAAAGGCACAGCACACCAACATCAAAACCTCATCCCCACTGTAAAACATGGCGGAGGGAGCATCATGGTTTGGGTCTGCTTTGCTGCCTCAGGGCCTGGACGGATTGTTGTCATTGATGGGAAAATGAATTCCAGAGTTTATCAAGACATTTTGCAGGAAAACGTACGACCATCTGTCCGCCAACTGAAGCTCCGCAGAGGATGGGTGATGCAACAGGACAATGACCCAAAGCATACAAGTAATCCAACAAAACAATGGCTGCAACAGCACAGAATACGCCTTCTGGAGTGGCCCAGTCAGAGTCCTGACCTCAACCCGATTGAAATGCTGTGGCATGACCTTAAGAGAGCGATTCACACCAGACATCGCAAGAATATTGCTACACTGAAACAGTTTTGTGAAGAGGGGTGGTCCAAAATTACTCCAGATCGTTGTGCAGGTCTGATCTGCAACTACAGGAAACGTTTGGTTGAGGTTATTTCTGCCAAAAGGAGGGTCAACCAGTTATTAAGTCCAAAGGTTCACATAATTTTTCCTCCCTGCACTGTGAATGTTTACATTTTATGTGCAATTAAACCATGGCAACATCTAATGTTTGTGTAGTATTATGTTCAGCAGACTGTTTCTTCTATTGTTGTGACTTAGATGACGTTCAGAGCACATTTTATGCCCAATTCATGCAAAACTCCACGTAATCCCAAGGGGTTCACATACTTTTTCTTGCAACTGTATGTAAATTTAATTTGGGTACATTGCTGCTTGACCGAGCAATTACCAGATAAAATAGCATAGTGCGGAATAGTAAAAAATGGCCTGATCATGAATGGGGTAAAACCTTCTGGAAGACAAGTGGTTTTGGAAGCTTGTCTCGAGTAATCCCCATTATGTAAGACCTGCATTACTGTTCTGCCTTAAAGCAAAACTAAACCCATCGATTTAGGCTCCGTTCACACCAATGCATTTTTTAGTGCTTTTTGCAGGAACACACTCCAGTCCATTTAACATGGTTTCTGATTGAACATCTATGCTTTTTTGAGCTGTTGCATTTTTAAAAAAGGTCACAGACTTTTTTAAAAGCAAAAAGCAGAGTTTTTGCTACAATAGAAATCAATGGAGAATATGCTGAAATGCATGGTAGTGTGTTTTGCTGCAATTTTGCTGCAATTTGCATTTTGCATTTTTATTCTGCCCAGAGAAAAAAAAAATTCAACTTAAAAAAAAAAAATAATGAACACAAGCACAAATTGCAGCAAAAATGCATGTAGAATAATGCAAAATGAACTGCGAAAAGCACTGTAAAATAGACAAAGAGCAAACTGCATAGGTGTGAGCAGAGCCTTAAAGGTCTCCTAAACCAGTTACATTCAAGTCATGCCAGGAATAACTGTCACAGTTGCTTGTGCTCTGAAACTGGTTTAGCCACATTTCTCATAAAATCTGATTGTTGCTAGTAATGGTTTTAGGGCATTAGTAATGAATGTTAGCCCAGTTCAAGTGATAACAACCTAAAACTGACTTTAGAAATAATACAAATGCAGAAAAGGGAAATCTCAGTTATTCTAAGGTTACCTTATTTTGCTCAAAGAGCCGCAAGAAAGATTTATGGCCTCGTGAGCAGCAATGGAACATTTGAGTACATGGACACACTAATATGGAACAATTTATGTGTATTTTCATGCACTCTTCTTTTGCTGAACTCTGCTTTTATTTCCTACGTTGTGAAATTCTGCAAATACATCTCTTTGCAGCAGCATAGTTGATGGACAACTCCAAATGCTGAAAGTACATTTCTCTTATGATTTGTCCTCATTTCTATCTTGTTAACACTTTGTGACTGCAAAATGCCCTTTAAAGAAGAACTCCAGTCCCCCATAATGTTGGCCCTGTCTCCCCTCTCCGCCACCACCATCTTCAAAAATCCGGCACACATGCAAGGGGGGGGGGGTTCCCACACATGCACAGACACCCTGAGATCCAGGACCTCATATCTGTGCTTTCTTCTTTCTTCATGCATGCATAGGGAAACCACCATACATACACAAATGGGCCACAAATCCCTGAGTCTCAGGGCACATCTATGCACACGCAGAATCCAGCAGCACCTAAGCGTCGAGTGACCAGGGACTACAATGTCATTCTCACTTAGGTAACAAGGAAGGACAAAAAATGTCTGAAACATTACAAAAATGTATTTAATTGTGGAAGAGGGTGGAGGGAGGAGCCAGATGCAGATAAGTTGTTCTATAGGGCGAAGGGTCCCTCTAACTTTCTTACACACAAGACCTCTTAAGAATGTTAAAGTGTTACTAAAGGCAGAAATTATTTTTTTAATTAAAATAATAAACATGTTATACTCACCTGCTCTGTGCAGTGGTATTGCACAGAGTGGCCCCGATCCTTCTCTTCTTGGGTCCCCCACCAGCGATCCTGGCTCCTCCTCTTATTTGTGTGTCCCCATAGCAAACTGTTTGCTATGGGGACAAATGCTGTGTGCTCGCTCCCAACCTGTGTGTCTATGGAGCCATGCTCCATAAACACACACAGCGGGACTTAGCCTTGCCCCCCACTTCTTCACTGCACTTGATTGACAGCATCAATAGCTAATGGCTCCTGATGCTGTTTGAGTCCCTGTGTGTGAAGAGGAAGAGATGAAGTCATGCACAGCGGTGATCTCTTCTCCCCTCTCTTCCACTTCACACATGGAGGGAGGAGCACAGGGAATTTAAAAAAAATTTTTTACCTTAATGCAAGCAATGTATTAGGGTAAAAAACATTTTTAGGTTTAGTATCACTTTAATTACCTTGGCACCAGAGAACTAGGAATGTACGCTCTGTCTTTTTACCATTGGGAAAGTTATGACTCGGGATGAGCTTCAGTGTGGTCAGAACTGTAGCTAAATGGTTAGTACTTCCAGCTGGTAATACTAAGGTCATTGGTTCGAAACCCAACCATGGGACCATCTGCCTGGAGTTTACATGTTCTCCCTGTGCCTGCGTGGGTTTCCTCCAGGTACTCCAGTTTCCTCCCACACTCCAAAGAGATGCTGGTTGGTTAATTGGCTTCTGTCTAAATTGGCCCTAGTATGTGTATGTATGAATGTGAGTTAGAGACCTTAGATTGTACGCCCCTTGAGGGTTAGGGATTGATGTGAATGTACAAAAAATATATATATATGTGCTGTGTAAATTGAAGGTGCTATATAAGCCCATGTAATTAATAAATAAACTCATGTTCAACTGAACCCATGAGGAAACTGCCAATGCCAGTCCAATGAGCTATGCCCAGGGCATTCCTGCCATGTAGTTGAATGTACACAAATGGGTGGGGATGCTTGTGACGTCATTGACCTTATGTGGTCAAATGTCATTGATGTAAATGATGTTACAAACATGCAGCTACGGGGTGAGAAATGCCCCAGGCACGGATGATTGGGCTGCCACTGACAGCTTGCTTCCAAGGTTATATGGCCATACAAAAACATAGTTCATTGGTATTCCAACAAACTGAATTAGGTTCATAGTGCACATGTGCAGTATACTGTAGCAGCCAGACTATGGCCCTAACGTAAGCTAACATACTGTAGTTATATTAAATATCCTACCTGACTCATAGCTCATCTCTCCATTATCAGATGATTTGTTCAAACTTTCAGACAAACTCACATCCAGATCTGAAAAAAAAAAAAAAAAAATACAGTTTCAGTTGTAACAAAACAACTAATATTTCAAGCCAAGTAACTGTGCCGCGTAGTACTCAGTTCATCGTAAGACTGATGACCTTTAAATCCCGCCAGGCTGTTCATCCATCTATTTACTGTACGTCTCTTGCAAGAATGCTTGCTGTGACTAAATCCTGATGACAGAACAGTGACACATGATGCTGCCTCTTTTATTTAGAGTAAACATATCGCTGAGCAAAGTATGTATATGATACCGGGAATGTCCAAAACGTTGCCATCCAATGGATCATCAGATGGGACTCTCTGGTCCACAGACTGATCGCAAGTAAGGCTGATCTGAGTAGCTGACAGTCTTCACAAAATAAATAGTGTGAATATTCCCTTCAATTAGCCAATCAGGTGAAAAGCACATTTTACTTACATCATCTGCATGTGATTGGATAAATGAAGGGAATATGCGCACAATTTGGGCTCCATTCACACTTGCGCAACTCCAAAAGTTGTGCGATTTCCATTACAACTTTACATTGCAACTTTGATGCAACTCTGATGCAACTTTGGATGCGACTTGGATGTTCACTTTGGCTTTGACTGTTGCACAACTGTCACATTGATAACATTAACCTCTTGGCGCCGGCGCCTCCCGCACTTTAAGGGTTTCAGAAGCCAGGAGGTGGGGCAGGGTTTAGGGTCATGTGAGCCCCGTGACACGCCATCATGGCGGTCAAATGATCGGGAAAGGTTCCAATCAAAAGAGGAGATTGTGACCTTTCCGTGAGTACCGGACATGTGTGCTGGGAGCGCGATTTGTGTTCGGCCGGCGCCAAGAGGTTAAAGTGGTTGTAAAGGTAGAAGGTTTTTTACCTTCATGTATACTTTTGGTGCGATTTGCATAGACAGCTGTGTCAGATGTCTTGCAAATCGCACCTCAAAATCGGCATGTCATCCGACTTTGAAATTTTGTTACTTCACTGTAAGTCGCATGATTTCAAAGTGTGACTGGGGTGTAATGCTCAGACAAAAAAAGGATAAAACATAAAAAAGGGGATGGAGCACTTGGTATTTTTCTGCCATTACTCTTCTATGTGTCAAACCTGGGAACTTCTGAAATCTCAACACAGGATCTCTTTAGAAACATAAGAAACTGTTAGTTGGTTTATGGCTTCAATATACAAAACACATGAAAGATCTGTTTTCTGTCATCTGAAACCACAAGATGATGAAGCTCTGAAGCTATGGCTTAAACAAGTCTGGTGGCAGTGTACAAAGAGGTAACATAACCCATATCTCCCACAGTTTCTGACTTATGAAAAGTGCTGTCCTAACCATTCAAGGCAAACTGTGTTTGCAGGTATGATGACCCTTAAGCTGGAGAGCCCCTAGTTCAACCACTTGCCTTCCAGAAGATTTACCCCCCTTCCTGACCAGGCCTTTCTTTTTGCGATACGGCACTGTGTGTTATTTTAACTGACAAATGCGGGGTCATGCAACGCTGCACCCAAATTAAAATTATGTCCTTTTTTTCCATGAAAATAGAACTTTCTTTGGGTAGTATTTGATCACCTGTGTGTTTTTTATTTTTTGTACTCTAATAAAAAAAAGACCGAAAATTTTTAGAAAAAAACTATATTTTTTTGTATTAAACATGTCCAGTAAAAAAAATAAAAAAAATCAAATTTCATCATAAATTTAGGCCACAATGTATTCTGCTACATGTCTTTGCTAAAGAAAAATCCCAACACGTGTAAATTAATTGGTTTACGTGAAAGTTATAGCGTCTACAAATGGCAGTATATATGCTAGAATTTTTTTTTTTTTGTTGTTAATAGTAGTAATGGCGGCAATCAGCGACTTATACCGAGACTGTGGGATTGCGGCGGGCATTCTGACACTGGGGGGGAACTGACTAACGGTCACTGCCATCCCCAGTGACACCAATGCAGTGATCAGTGCTAATAAAAAGCACTGACATTGTACTAATGACAGTGGGCAGGAAGGGGTTAACATCTGGGGGGATCAAAGGGTTAAATGTGTGCTGTGTGTGCTTAACTGTGTCAGCACATTGCTTTGTATTGCTCTGCTATGCAGAACAATACAAAGCAATGTGCAGGAGCTGACAGGGAGAGATCTGCATTGTTTACATACAGGTCTCTTCCCTGTCTTTGATACACGGCGATTGCCGGGTGCCGGCGGGGAATCACTGGCCGGGAATCGGTGATCAACAGGTGAGGCCCCAATGGCAGTGCGTGATTTTGCGCATCCTGCCGCCCTGTAGCAGTATTTCTGCTATAGGGCGGTGGGAAAGCAGTTAAATTTAGTGTTGCGGCTAGGCTGTAGTCAGCCTGAGCTCTGGTGGTTGTGGTTTCTGTGTTTGTTGGGTTTTCCCTAAATTTACAATATTGTTTACTTCTGCCTGTTGATTGAGAGTGTTCTCCAGTGTTTTCAAATCTCTATTTTCCTTTTTGTCAATGACTAGGAGGTTTATTACCATGCTGGAAAAGGAGGTAAATAGTTAGTGGTGACCTTCCAGAAAGGTCTTTTGTCTCCTGGGCTGCTGCCAGGGAGGAAGGTTCTTCCTTCCCAGGCTACTGTCTGCAGAGGATGCCAGTGTAACGAGCCCAGCCTTGCCTCCCAGGCCTGCTGCTTGGGGAGGGTGTTGCTGTACGTAGAGCCTGAGCCGGGACATAAGGAAACAGAAGTCGGCTGTGACTTGGGGCATGAAGAATTTTTGCTGTGCTGCTGAAGGGTGAGTCCAGAGGGAGGAGGAATATAGCTGCCGGTATGGAGCATTTTAGGTGGAGGCCTGTGTGCTAAAGAGTGTTTGGTAGAGCTGGGTAGAAGCTGCTGCCAATGGACATTGCAAGACGTTCTCACTGCTGCTCTATTAACCTCTTGGCGCCAAGTGCATGCAAATATGCGTCCTCTCGGCAGCTGGGCACCCTGCACACTCCCAGCACATTTGCCGGCGCCTCAAAGAAAGGTCCCGATTGCTACTTGCAGTCAGGAGCTTTCCAATCATGTGGTCGCCGTGACAGCCAATCACATGACCCTATACCTGGCTCACCTCCCAGTGTAACAAACCCCTTAAAGGGCTGTGAGGTGCCGGCACCAAAGGGTTAAAGTGGTTGTAATGCCCTACATATCCCAGTGAAGTGACTGGCTTCAGGTGACATACAGACATGAAACAATTCCTCCAAGATAGGTTGTAACTGTTTATTTGCAGTCTCCTCTTCTCTACAGCCATTCAAAGTGTGGAATTTATAAAGCTTGTCTGAGCTGTCAGAAATAAGGGAGTGGAGAGCTGAAGTCACACTCTGCAGAGCTCAGCGAGGAAAGCTCTGAGAGCTGATTGGAGGGGAGAGACACACCCCTCTCTACACAGCTCACAGGAATAGAGCTGAGGCTGTCAATCAGCTGAAGCTCCCTCCCCTGTCGCCATTTTTCTCTTGCTGTCAGGAAAACTTGTCAGAAGTGATTCATGCTGACAGCAGAGGAATGAAGCAGCAGACAAAAATGACACTTAGTGCTCCTAATTGACACACTATAGAGGGATATGCTGTGTTCATATTTCATGTCTGAGGTTTATAACCACTTTATGGTACCCGGCGGTGACCATATAGGACCTGGGTTCTGCTTGCCTGCTCTCAGAGGGACAACTACTTAATTTTACTTGAAGAATCCGGAGCTGTATTTTGCCAGTCTAGGGTATCCTCTGCCCTAACCTCTGAGTTTACTGTGCTGATCAAATCTTCAAATAAACTAAAGTGGCTGGTGCCCAACAGTACCGAGACAAGGTCACACAGTGCCCATGGCAAAGATGACAAAATCGCCCCCACCCCCCACACTCCCATTCATAATGTGCAGGCTTAGGGGATCCTACACCCAGTTCGCTTGTCAAAATCACGGTCGCCAACACCACTCCTGTACATTTTGTAACAGAAGAAAGGCGCCCCCATTGCTACAGTAAACCATTGTGCCCAGGGCAGCTGCCCCTCCTGCCTACCCCTTGTCCTGGCCCTGGAGCCCACTTTCTTTTACCCCACAAGAAGTCAAGGATTCTCCCCTGGGAGTTGAAATGCTAGCCCACCAAGTCGTCTAGGGGTTCTCCTCAACCAGTAACACAGATACAACACCTCCTGCGCTCGGAGACCCAGACCAGTAGAGGACCAATGGACCAATATAAAGTATGATATAGGGACCAATCAAAGGTTGTGCAGCTCTTCATCAGCTCTTGCACGGAGAACAATTCCTATGTTGTCATATTCTGTTATTCGTCCTTCCTCCGTACAATTCTGTTTATAAATGTCTTAGGATGGAGCACAAAACAGCACCATATGTCTGTTCATTCTACTCGGGGTGTTCCAGGTCACCCTGGCAATCCCAAAACATTGCCCCAAGGATATGTGCTTTACTGTGACAAGGGACATTAGACTGGGATTAATAATGCTATAATATATGCCTATGAAAATTCTATCCACTTTATACAAAATAAAATCTTTTTTATCTAAGTCCAGAGATGTCTAGCATCAGAATGCCATCAATAACTTTGACAATAGCCCCATCTGCTGTTTAACACGGGTAATTCTTTACTTCTTTTCTGAATTCATTTACATCATACAGTATGGTACAATGCACACACGGGCACAAGCTGATGCTTTATTTAAAAAAAAATCTACCTTTGGTTTGCTGTAAAAGCACATTATAATGCAAGGCAACGTGTGTTCCTACATCTTTATAAAGAAGGAACAAAGTGCTTGTCATCTGACTTCTACAATGCGTATTAGGCTTCATGTACAAGAGCCTACCCTGACCCCGGCTGCTGGGAAACGCAAATCTTGGCAAAAACGCGATACAATGGCTGCTGCATTTTGCGTTTTCCTGTGTTTGGCAGTCAAAACATTCCTCACCTAAACGCAGCAACTCTGCTAAAAGCAATATGTGTACATGGACACATGGGCTTTTATTGAGTTGAGTTTTTGGAGCTTTGGCAAAAAAAATGCCAAAAGCTCCTAAATTTGAGTTTAGCAGCTGCTCGTGTACATGAGGACCGCTCCGTTTCCGCCACCCCCCTCTGCCAATCCCTCCACTGGCTTCCGATTGCCCAATGGATCAAATTCAAAATCCTAACACTGACGTACAAAGCTGTCCATCATACTGCCCCAAACTACATCACCGACCTAATATCCAAGTACCACCCAGCACGCACACTCCGCTCCTCACAAGACCTCCTTCTCTCTAGTTCCCTAGTCTCCTCCTCCCATGCCCGCCTCCAGGACTTCTCCAGGGCGGCACCCATACTCTGGAACTCCCTACCCCAATCCATCAGACTATCACCTACTCTCCTCTCCTTTAGGCGCATCCTGAAAACCCACCTCTTCAGGGAAGCCTACCCCACCCCCTGCTAATTCCCGACCTCCTCCACTCTTCCTACCACTCCATCCCCCACAGCTATTTCCTCCTGTACCACCATCCCCTCCCTCCTAGATTGTAAGCTCCAAGGAGCAGGGCCCTTGAACCCCTAGTGTATCGCATTGTATTGTTATTGTACTGTCGCATGTTCTGTCTCCCATTGTAATGTACAGTGCTGAGCGAACTATTGGCGCTATATAAATACTGTATAATAATCATAATAACTAGAAAAGCTACAATTTCTGGGGAAATTGTGTGACGTGTTCTTGCCTCCACCAGTAGTCTACAACTGGAGTGGGTGGAGAAACTGGGTGGAGTGGCTTGAGTAAATATTAAAAATGAAGGCACAGTCGCAGTTTAGGAATTGCCCTTCAAATTTGAGGTGGCTAGAGTGGAGTTTCAATGAATGTCAATGGGCGGCGTGAGTTGCAAACAAATGGTCATATTGTGAAAACTATCAGGATTCCTCCATTCATTCCTATGGGACCAATTTGACCACAAAAACGCCGATATTTCGTGAATCATTCAGTGAAACGTTCCACAAAGTAATAGCACTCCAATCGGGAACAATCCGCACGTTTCAGTATATTACTGTCTATGTAGTGTAAAACTGTGGGAGGAGTTAGGGTGGTAAATTTGGCTATAATAATAAGAATATATATGTGAGACAACAGTAAGTGGTCTTGCCATGCAAGAACACTTAATGAGGACTTAGGCTCTATGTACACTGGAACTTTTATATTTATTACAGGCAGCAGAAAAACACTAAATAGGGCAAAACGTGGTACTGCATTTAGCGCTTGGATGTTTATTAATTTTGTTGGCCAGTATATGCCATTGAAATAAAAAAATGCTCAAGCACTATACACAGTTAGCGCTCAGGCGCGTTTTTGCCGTGTTTAGCGTTTTCTGGCCAAAGCGTTCCTTTCCTGTGCATGGACATATAGGCTTTTATTGAGTTGAGTTCAGGGGCTTTGGCCCCTCCCACAGCTCTCTGCACAGGCTATGTGCAGCACAGTGATGATCTCACCACTACATTCATAAGGTGATAACTGGGTTTGCAAAGGCATTTGGTGCACCTAAAGTGGATATATATCCTTTTTAGCTATATATAGGAATGTATTTAAATGAACATTTCTGTGCCCACGGTACAGTTTTAAGGACATATACAGATTTTATGTTATCACATGATATCACTATGATGTTTGTATGTTGGATGCACTAAGATGAATATGCGGAAAACTGCAACCGTTTTACATAAGAGGAACAAATTCCTAAAATTAACTGGGTACCTGATGTAGCAGAGTTCTCTGCAAATGAAGAATCAAGTAGACTGCTGTCAGCTGTCACATTGTGGTTTTCAGCCTCCTGATCTGATATATCAGAAGTCACTTTGTCCTCCTCGAGATCCTTTTTGGACTCTTTGGCACCAACCAGAGGTTCAGATCCCTCATTGCAGTCAGCTGTTAAAGAGACAAGCTTGTTTTAGAATGGGCATGCGTCACCAAACAAGTTTAGAAGACCTAAGAACTCTCTACCAATCTTTTTGCTCAACATTAGGAGAGATAGCTAACTGGCAGAGGTTACCATTGTATACACAAAAGCAGCCCTGTGTACACATTGCTCTCCGATGTTTCCAAGCTCCTGCAGAAAAGACTATATATCCCTCTAGTACAGCGGTCTCCAAACTGATGCCCGGGGGTCAGATGTGGCCCTTTGATTGCCTCTATGCGGCCCTTGGGACACTATTCCTCCCACTGATACTAGACACTATTCTGCCAACTGCACACACAATGGGGCACCATTTCTCCCACTGATACCAGCAATGGAACTTTATTCCTCCCAAAGATGGGACACTATTCCTCCCACTGACACCAATGATGGGGCACTATTCCTCCCACTGACACCAATGATGGGGCACTATTCCTCCCACTGACACCAATGATGGGGCACTATTCCTCCCACTGATACCAAAGATGGGGCATTATTTCTCCCACTAACACTACATATGGGGCACTTTTCCTCCCACTGATACCAAAGATGGGGCATTATTTCTCCCAATAACACCATATATGGGGCACTATCCATGCCACTGACACCAAAGATGGGGCACAATTCCTTCCACTGACATCAATGATGTGGCACTATTTTTCCCACTTACACCAATGAAGGGGCACTATTTCTCCCAATGATCCCAGTGATGGGGCATGATTGCTCCCAATGATACCAATGATGGGGCACTATTCCTCCCACTGACATCAATGAGGAAGCACTATTCCTCCCACTGACACAAATGATGGGGCACTATTCCTCCTAATGATACCAATGATGCGGCACTATTCCTCCCCCTTATATCAAATGTGGCAATGTTTCCTACCACTGATGCCAGGAAAATGTCTACTCTCTCTTGCCACAGTCCGCCCCCCCTAAAGTCTGAAGGACAATAAACTGGCCCTTTGTTTAGAAAGTTTGGAGACCCCTGTTCTAGTACAACTCTAGCCAAAAGGTTTTATTCTGTTTGGCATGGGGATGGGTTAGAGCCTTTGTCAGTTTTTTGACTGTTGTTTGTATCCCTAATGGGGAAATTTCCCTTCAATTCCTGTCATTTTCTGTGCCAGGAATGGAACTTTCATTCAGGACAGGAAGTTATGGGACATTTTTCCAAGGACACAAACAAAGCTAATGTTTTCTAATAGAGTAGATAAGGATAATATCTTGTGATCCCAATTTTTTATCCTGGTGTCAAAGGAACAGCACATGAGGAAAACTCCCCAGTGGGGTCATAGACACCATAGACACAAATACAAAACAGAAAAACATTTTTATTTCTTCCACGCTCTATTCATGATTTAAAAATATTTTTTTTGAGTTAGGCTTTAAAGAAGAACTCTAACTTTAATTTTTTCGGTGTTCTGTGCCCTAGAGGATGCTTAAAAACCAGAGTTTGGCACACTTGCTGGAGATAAGCAATGGCAAAAGGAATGCAGCGGGAATGGGGTGGGGGAGTTCTCAGCCTCCTATGTAACAACTGTATTTCCACTGAGGATGGCAAACCAATAACCATATAGTTGCTTACAATGTATATATAAAACCTGCCCATAGGCACAGACCTATTGTGATAAATCCAGGATAACATATGTGGTATTCCCACTTCAGTTAGTCCTAGATCTATCAATTGATTCTATGCTGCACAGACGAGCTGAGGTCAATAACCAGAGTGCACTGACATGCCAACACATCTGTATGCATCAGCGCGCACATCCACGCACACTGGTGCATGCCAAATTCTGGGAATGGCGATAAGTTGCCTATTTAAAGTAGGTCCTGGTGTGTGCTAATCGCTGGATATTCTTCGGCTTGTCTGTGATTTGTGCTCTTGTGTTCCTGTTCTTGCTGACTAATCTCCCACTGCTTATCCAGCTTGTTCCTGACCTTGCCCTGTGGATTCTGGATACCAACCTCAGCTTGTCTCTGACTACGGTCTGCCTGCTCCTTGATACTGACGTTGGCTTGCTCCTGAACTACATTCTTCCGTGGTACTGACCTCAGCCTGCTCCTGGACTGCACGCTGCTGCTTCCCTGGTACTGACCTCAGCCTGCTCCTGGACCTCCCTTCACCTGCTTCCCTGGTACTGACCTTGGCCTGCTCCTGGACCTCCCTTCACCTGTTTCCCTGGTACTGACCTCGGCCTGCACCTGAACCTCGCTTCACCTGCTTTCCTGGTACTGACCCCAAGCCTGCTCCTGGACCTCGCTTCACCTGCTTCCCTGGTACTGACCTCAGCCTGCTCCTGGACCTCCCTTCACCTGCTTCCCTGGTACTGACCTTGGCCTGCACCTGAACCTCGCTTCACCTGCTTTCCTGGTACTGACCCTGGCTTGCTCCTGGACCTCGCTTCACCTGCTTCCCTGGTACTGACCTCAGCCTGCTCCTGGACCTCCCTTCACCTGCTTCCCTGGTACTGACCTCAGCCTGCACCTGAACCTCGCTTCACCTGCTTTCCTGGTACTGACCCTGGCCTGCTCCTGGACCTCGCTTCACCTGCTTCCCTGTTCTGGTACTGACTGTGGCCTGCTCCTGAACCTCGTTTAACCTGCTTTTCTGGTGCTGACCCCAGGCCTGCCCCTGGCCCTTGCTTCACCTGCTTTCTAGTACTGACCCTGGCCTACTCTTGGAACTCACTTCACCTGCTTTTCTGATACTGACCCTAGCCTGCTTCTGGACCTCGCTTTACCTGCTTCCCTGGTACTGACCTCAGCCTGCTTCTGGACCTCACTTCAGATGGTACTGACCCTAGACTGCTACCTAACTATGTCTCCTTCTGCCTTACTGTGTATAACCCCGGCTCACCTTGACTATGTTTCTGACCCTGGCGGTCTCCTGCTACCAAGTTACCGGTAGTTTGAGCCTTTTACCTCTATCACCACACTCAGGGGTGTTCAGACCAGAGCCTCAAGGGAATTCCTCTTGTCAGGTTAGTCTCCAACTAAGGTACATAAAATGTGAGTAGAGAGACACTAGGAGAGTGTCTACCCTGGCCTCATGGTGGGGGGGGGGGGGGGGTGCAGATCTGACCAGGCTGTGATCTTAAAGTCATAGTTGAAATAACCAGGAGGCCTAAAAAAAAGATATGTTTTGTCATGGTGATGCGGAAAACCCCTGTGAGGGTAACCCTGTATGTTATTTCTGAATTTTAATTTTAAATAAAAGTGGGTCTAGAGCCTTGAAAGTGTTCTGCCTTGCCTGGAGTGGAGTTGATGAAAAGCACTACATATACAGTGTTAAGATATATATATATATAATTTTTAATGGATCTCTATAAAAGGCATTTACTGTAAATGAACTGAAATTTTGTGTTTTCATGGATCGACATTTTAAGAAACATCTGTGAGCAGTAAATAAACAGCCGATTACCTGTCTGAGCGGCACCTTCTGAGTATGCAACCTCATGCTGGCTGCTATCATCTACCACATCATGGTTTTCAGTAGCCGGACTACCATCAGAAACACCTTCAGCAACCTGGGGACTTCTCTTGCATTTTGCAGAATCATTATGTGACTCACGTTTTTTATTGTAACCATCTATGAAAGAAAAAACATTTCACATCCTCTGTGTTCCATCCTATAAGCTATGGCCTAGCCTTAATAGTAAGGAATATAATATACTTTGTAGTATAATATATAATTTAACAATATATAAAGTAAATATATAAAAAAAAAAAGTCTTGCATATCCTCGATAGGGAATTTCTGTTCATATATTAAATATGTATTTAGATATAAACTATTATATCATTATCAATATAAATATTTCCCACACATTTCCTATACTCTATAGATGATTTCCTCTTTCTTTAATAGTAGAAGAGTGAGATAAGTTAAGACCCTTCCTGTGCTTCTATAAATTATCTTGTACTTATTTAAAATGGACCTCCAGGCAAACAAATAAATGCATACCCAAGAGCTTTTTTCACCTGCCAAAGAATTTGCATTTCTGTCCATCCAGTCTTGTGATTTACACAGCTCCACCTCCACAGCACAGTCCTGCCTGGCAGGGCAAGGGACCTGCTCTTTCTCTGCTGCAGTTTCACTTTTTCCTACAGGTCTCCTCCAAAATCTTGGGACTGGACAGTGAAGGAGACGCAGTAAATTGATGAGCTCATCTCTCTGTCTGTTTTATCTGCTATCAGCATGCAACTTTCATTTTGGCACACCTCACTGGCTCCTGGAGCTGCTTCTCCCTCCCCATCTCTGAGCTTTGCTGTGCAAACTGCACAGTAGACTGCAAGAAACCAATACCAGGTCAAATGCAGGTACTAACACAGCTTGCATTTAAAAATATTTACGAATGCACCATGTTAATTATTACAGAGCTATATCAATGTACCGGTATGTCTTTTTTTTTTTATATGTTGTTCAGCTTTAATATTGGTTTAATCTCTTCCTCATTATTTATCTTGGAACAAAAATCAATAGTCTGTTGGCACAAAACAGGTTAGCCCAAGAAAACATTAAATCGACCTGCCATGTTTTTCCATATGCTAGGGCTTCATTAGAGGTGAAGTTTAATCTGGTTGTATGTTTTCTTCCCTGGTCCCCCACCCATCAGCATGCTAATGACATTTTGAAAAAATGCCTTTTTTCTTTACATACCTTATTTTAGACCCATTGATGTCATCACTGGGTCTTTGTGCTTCTAGATGCAATTCAGCAAATCATGGCTATAGGGAGGGACTGATAAGGTTTTGTACATAGCTTCCTAAAAATAGGTAGATGTGGTAATGCCCACATGTGTTGCTGAGCCTCCATGACTGAAAGAATTCAAATCCAATGAATGAAAGAGGTGGGCCAGGGATTGCCAAGCTAAATGATGCTGGATGTCCTCCAGCCAGGAAATAAGGTGAGCTCTATCTAATGTTCTGAAGCTTCTAATGCACACTGTGAGAAGCTCACAGTGTGCAGTTGAGTCAGAGTAAGCAATTTCAGTAGATGGGAGGAACCTTAACAATTGTGCAAGACTGAAGGTGAGGTTGCAGTTCAGCTTTAAATAAACAGGAGAATGCAATGCTGACAATATGAGGGGACAGGGAGCAGAAAAGGGAGACAAAGGGAGATATCAAAAAGAGCCAAAGTAAAAAGAGATGGAGGCAACTTTGCACATTAAGTGGGGTACCTGTGAGTGTTCTGGGTCTATTAGGACCCTAATCTACCTTCATTTTGTAAAGCACTGCGCAAACTATATAAATCCTGTATAATAATAATTATAGTAAAGATCCCACAGAAAAAATTGTTTATAATCCACATGGAGTTTGCTTTTCTCCCTGTGCTTGCTTGGGTTACCTTGGGATATTCCTCCCACCCTCTAGAGACATGCTGCTAGGTTTATTGGCTCTTGTCTAAACTGGCCCTGGTATATGCAGCACGTGAGATATAGACCTTAAGCTGGGTATACATATACCAGCTGATTTTTGGTAGGTGTGTACCGATATCTGTTCACCAGAAGCCAATCTAATGACCGGCTTCTGTCAAACAGTCAGGCTGGAATACCAGCATTCGTTCAGCTCATGCAGCCAATGGCTAAGCTCTGTATTCTGCTGGGGTGGAGGGAGTCCACGCTATCAGAATACGATAGCTGGGGCAAAAATCTCTGCATCTACATTGTATTAGTGGATGTGGGGATCTGTAATATTTTTCTTTTCGTTCAACCCTCTGATTGAACGGAAAAAACCTTTAAGGAGAACTACACTAACACTGACGTATAAAGCCGTTCATAACACTGACCCTAATTACATCACCAACCTTGTCTCTAAATACCACCCAAACCATACTCTCCGCTCCTCGCAAGACCTCCTACTCTCTAGCTCCCTTGTCTCCTCCTCCCATGCTCATCTCCAGGATTTCTCAAGGGCTTCACACATCCTCTGGAACTCCCTACCCCAAGCTATCAGGCTATCGCCTACTCTGCTCACCTTTAGGCGCACTCTGAAAACCCTTCTCTTCAGGGAAGCCTACCCCGCCCCCAGCTAATACTGGAATCCACTACTCCTCCTACCACTCCATCCCCCACAGCTAATTACCTCTTGTACCACTATCCCCTCCCTCCTAGATTGTAAGCTCCAAGGAGCAGGGCCCTCTAATCCCTCTTGTATTGAACTGTATTGTTACTGTACTGTCTCCCTCCATAATGTAAAGCACTGAGCAAACTGTTGGTGCTATATAAGTCCTTTATAATAATAATAATAACTACAGGCAAAGCTTTTTTTTTCACTTTGGATAGAGTAAGGGAGGGTTATAACCCATCAGTTTAATTTTTGCCATCTCTGTTCCATTGGAGAGATTTCACTTCACTTCCTGTCCCACAGCCAAAACAGGAAGTGAGGGAAAATCCGTACAAATTAGGGGAATTCCTTGGGGACCCCAAGGTCACCAGAACTGGTATCCCCATTGGAAAATTTCCGCTCTATTACTTTGCTAGGGACAGCCCAAAATTTCAGGTTTTCTTTCACTTTCACTTTCAGAGATGGTGGTAAACAGTACAAATAGAGAGGATGAATCTCCCTAACAGGGGCACAGACAGTAATAAAAACTGACAGATGTTCTAATCCCTCTCCACTCTATCCAAAGCTAAAAAAAAAAAAAATTGCCTTTAGTTATGCTTTAACCCCTTGGCACCAGTGCCTCCTGGCCCTTTAAGGGATTTCAGATGCTGGGAGGTGGGACAGGGTTTCTGATCATGTGACCTCCAGGATTGGCTGTCCATGGTCACATGATCAGAAAGCTCCTGATCCCAAGTAGAGATCGGGAGCCTTCTGTTAGCCGCCGGTAACTGTGTCCTGTTTTTCTTTGCGTACGCATATATATGTAGCCTCTCAGCATTAAGGCCCACCCGCCAAGAGGCTGCATATATGCATATGCCTGGCGGGAACGAGTTCATGTTTAAATGCTGCTTTAGATTGTAAGCTCTATGGGACTAATGTGAAGGTATAGTACGTAAAAGTGCGGCATAAATTTGTCAGCGCTATATGAATATCTGTGATAAATAATAATAAAAAATAATCTTAATATTAATAAAGTAATCATATTATGTAAAGTACAACTAGAAAAAAACCTTTTTGTTGTTTTTTTTTTTGTTTTGAATAGAGTGGAATTTGAAGGGATTTCCTCTCACTTCCTGTTTTGGTTATTGGACAGGAAGTGAAAGGGAACCTGCCCAATAAGACACAGATGGAAAAAACAAACCTGGCAGAGATTATAACCCTTCATTTCTCTATCCAAACTGGTAAAAAAAAGTTTTGTATTTAGTTCTTAGTTTTAAGGACTGCATCAGTAGAAGATTTAGTTACTAGATGTACCTATGAATTCCTGATATGTGACTCCAGTCAAGGTTTCAATCAGTTCCTTGTTATCCATTTCGTGTAGCACAGTCACAAAAGTAGGAAACCAATCTTTCTTTTTAGTTATCCTACTCAAAAGCTCTCTGCTTCCTTCTTCTTGTGAACTATTATCAACACATCGACAAATCTGCAAGAAAAAAAAAACAGCAACAACACATATCAATGCATAATGTATACCACCTCCTACTCCCAACCTTATGCCCCCCCCGCCTTTTTAACAGTAACTACAATTGGCAGAAGGCAGTAAACGGCGTTCTGTGACTGGCGCCAAAGCACCCCGCTGCACATAGCGGCTTTGATGCTCAGTCAGAATATCCATCATAAAGCTCACAAAGGCAAGCCCCATTGGTCAGCTTGACCCCATGACTGCACTGACCAATAAGAAGCGCTTCGTTGCTCTGGGACACCTTACCAGAACAAGAAGCCTCAGCCTTCTCATTGGTCAGCATGGTCATGTGGCTAAATGGACCAATGAACACTTGCCATTGTGTGCAATATGATGAATACTGACCCCGGGGCTGTCTGTTGTGTTCTATGGGCCTCTACACTGGCTACACAGGGCATCATGGCTGCTATGTGCAGTGGTGTGGCCAGGATATTTGGAGTTAGTCCTTTAAAGTATATCTAAAACTAAGAACAAATGTTATATACTGCAGTTTACAGTCCTCCAGTCTGAATTTGTATTCTTTTCTCAGGCTAAGTGCATTTCCTGGAAGTTCAGTATAAATATCTTTTGATCCTGCCAGAAAACTTGTGGCCTTGTAACTCCCTAAAGCTGGCCATAGATGGATCAGAATTCAGCTGGTTCAGCAGGCACTGGCCACATTTCAATCCATCAATGGCCATTCCCACTCAACAGAAATCAATCGTCAGGGGGAAACAAAAATGCTGGAAAATGTTTGGTGATCAGCAGCCAGTCGGCTGCAGCCTCTGATCAATGTATTTTGACAGCAGGGGGAGTCCCGCTGTCAGAATGCAATGGCACAGTGGGGAGGATTCCTCATTCCTATTGTGTGGATAAGGGAATCTGTTTGGTTTTTTTCCGGTCAACCAGCTGGCTGATCAAAACAAATGAACTATCTATGACCAGCCAACAATAGCAATATTATCAGCCTTCCCAGTTCTATTCCATGAGCTACAATTAGGGTGATTGGACTAAGGGGGGTGTTTCTCTATAGTACATTGAGTGAACGTTGTCACTCTAGGACAGGAAGTGTGTTATTTGCAAAATCACCATGTAAAGTAAAGGGGAAAAAGACTAAAAAAATTGCCTAGGGCAGTACAGGAACTAAATACACCACTGCCAGTATAAGGCCTCATGCACACTGGACATTATAAAAATGCCTGTAGCCTTAGCTGTAGAATTCTGCAATAAAAACGTGAGGGTTTTTTGCATTTTTTATTAGCTTTTTTTCAGTGTTTTGTTAGTGTTTTTTAGCATTTTTTTAGCAAAGTTATACTCTCGCAAAATGTTCAGGCTCAAAATCGCTCATAAACGCCGGATAGCCACATTATTTAGCGTTTTTTTTTTTTTTCCCAGCTTTTATCAGTGTTTTTCAGCTTTTATCAGTGCTAGAGCATTTTTACAGCTAAAAACCTCCTCTCGAAACCCACTAGTTCTGGGTTTGTTTCCAGACAGAAAACGTTCCTGCCAAAAAACTCTGATTAAAGTTTATGTGTGTATGGACACATAGGTTAACCTGCTGGGGAGTTTACTGGCTATAGAAAAAAAACGCCAGAAGCCAAAAACAGCCACTGTACAAACGTCCAGTGTGCATGAGGACTTTGCGTATAATTATTTTATAGGTACAGCACAAATTTGCAGCAAAGTAGACCTGCTGAATTATCAACACTAAGGATCCGTGCACACTGGGCATTTTAATAACGCTGGTAACGTTAGCTGTGTAAAGTAAAAACATTACTTTTTCAGCATTTTTTTAGTGTTTTTTGCATTTGCATTTTTTTCGCGATTGTGTTTTTTATTACCAAAAAACTATCAAAAAACAGCGGTTTGCTGCGTTTTACCACATTTTTTAGCATTAGAGCATTCTACAGCTAAAACATTCTAGAAACCCACTAGTACTGGCTTTTTTTTTCCAGCCAAAAAACGGCCCTGACAAAAAATGTTGATTACAGTCTACATGTGCATGAACACATAGGATAACATGCTGGGGGGTTTACACGCTGTAGAAAAAACCGTCAAAAGCCAAAAACAGCCGCTGAAAAACATCCAGTGTGCATGAGGACTAACTAGCTTGGTACGCCCATGTATATTTCCCAATTTTTAGAATCATGGAGTGGTTTCTGTGTTCCCACAAGCCTTTCAACAATTGTGGAACCCTGCCCAAATGTAACCAACCTTCTGTAGACACCACACATATACTCACAATTTGAACATCTTCAGGGCTGCACAGATTTTTCATCAAGCAGCGGACGGTGATCTCACTAGGTTTCAATGTTCTCACTAGCGTTGGGTAAAGACAGTTGATGAGCTTCTCACAATAGTCTTGTTTTGCTTCCTGCTCTAAGCTTGGGAGATCTTCACTCCTCAAGTATAAGCAAGCTTCGGAGTTTTCTGATGCTGCAAGTGCGTCGACAAACTCTTCAAACCAGCCAAGCGCATGGTGACCTACTAGTAGACGATCGATCAGCATTCTAGCAGCATCTCTGTTTACTGTACCTCTCAATCTTTCTTTAAACTCAACATCAAGGCTGTTCATGTAGTCCAACAAAGGAACCACCTGGATAGTATTGATGAGTCTGGTCTTGAATGTTTCAATCATATTGAGGTTTATAACCTCACTGCTCTCCTCCTCAGCCATTGTTACCAGCTAATAAATAAGAAAGAGCTTCCTACTCAGTAATGGACTATTCTTGAAATGTAGCTAAGGATCTTCTTGCTAGAAGAGTAGCCCTGCGTAGGTAGGTCAATGAAGTGCAGTGTCACTGCTTACAAGCTGAGTGTTAAAGTCTCTTACAGGCTGTCAGCTTTTATACCAGGAAGAAGAGGTGGAATGCAATTTTCAGTTTCGTTTCTCTAGGACAAGAAGGCTGCATTGGTTGCATTACTACAGAAATCCAGCCCTCTTTCGCTCAGCTGCTGTTTGCAGTCAGTTTCATCACGAAAAGGAAAATGGAATCTGAAAGCAGATCAGCCTCCAGGCACAGTAATCAGCTGGCAAACAAAGCAGTCTGATCAGGGAATTTCCTTTTGATGTCATCTATCCATGTATTACAAATACAGATACAGAATAAAAACAGAATAATGAATGATGTAATACGAAGACATATGGAAACAAGGAATCAAAATGTTTGAACCCTGCCAGAAGTGGCTATTTTACCTTCTCTTGTACCCTCATCCTGTCCTGTATGACTAGAAAAACATCATTGAGCCCCATTCACACTTGAGCTGAGCGTCTTTTGTCATTTCTAGAGCATTTGTAGAAGCGTTTTTGAGCGCGTTATTATTATTATTTTATTATTATTGTTATTACAAGGGCTATACCAAAAGTAAAGAAATGCCCGTAGCGAAAAAAGAAAGAAAAGAAATAGCGTAGGGCAGGCATGACTAGGCCTAGAGTGGGAATGAAGACTAGAAAGGGTTAATGATAGCACTAGGGGGTTTGTAAGGGATAGCTGGGGATCTGGTTGGTAGAGGGGGAGTGTAGGTGGGGTCTTCTGCACCTTAGGGTGGGGGGTTCTGGTGAGGGGCGTCAGTCGGAGCTGGACGTGAGGAGAGAGAGCTTGCACACCAACGTGTACTGTGCAGGCTACCTTCATCGAGGTTTTAGGTGTGCGGATAGAGCAGCTGCTATGGAGGGACTTTTGGCTCAGTTGCGGGAGGCTGCCGCTGTTAGAGAGACGGACCTGCTGCGGGACCCGAGCTTGTCACCAGCGGCGAGGGGGCGGGAGCGCCCACGTGCTCGGAGGTCTAGGACTCCGGAGTGCTTTAGCCTGGGCTCCCCCCCCCCCCCCAGAGCTCAGCGCCACATTGGGAGCCCCGCTCAGGACCCTCCGGCCCCGCTGGCAGGGCGCTTTCTTGCCTCTGCTCGCGGGGAAGCCGGGAGGAATCCCCGTCAATGGCGGAGCTCGGCAGGCGGGGTCTCGCACGGAGGAAGCCCCTCCCGCGCGGCAAAGAGGACGGGATGTCAATGGCTCCTCCGCTGACGAGGTGCCTGTCGGGGAGGGAGCCCAGCGTGGGAGGCGCACCGCTGCGACTGCCGGGCTGTCTCCTGCTGCGGCTGGTGGGCCCCCTGGGAAGCCTGGAGCTGTGGCTCCAAAGAAGCACAGGAGGAAGAGCAGCGCTGGGCGGAGTGCTGCTGGGAGCGCTGCAGGACGGAGCCCAGGGACGGCAGTGAGCGTGGCTGGTGCCGGGAGGCGGAGTCGGGAGCGGCACAGACCTGCGGGACCCGTGGCTCCTGGGACCGGGAGGCCATCCAGCCGAGGTAGAGAGGAGGTAGAGAGATCGGAGGGCGAGCTGTCGGAACCCGATGCAGGGGCAACGGCTGGCCGCTCAGCAACGGTGGAGTTTGGTCGCGCGGCTGATGGGACATCTCCTGGGCAGCCTGATGAGTTACCTGTTACTGGGTCTGTCTCCTTTTCTTCTGCGCTATGGGACCTGTTAGGGGGAGGTCGGACCGCCCCTTGGGGCACGGCCTCTGCGGTGATGGATGTCGGCGTTCCCCTGTCGGGTATAGGTGGGGGTCTCTGCGATTTGATTTCTGGTCTGCGGGACTTGTTGTGGCGACTGGAGTGGGGCGGTAGTGGGGGCCCTGGGCTTGCTCCTGCGTGGTTCCCGCCGGCTGGTGGGGAAGTGTTCGGGGTCCTAGGGCAGGACAGTGGGGACGTGCGGGGCCCGGGGGTTTCTTCTCCTCCTGATTCTGGGCCAGGGGTGGTTACGGCGGAGACCGGTGCTCTGGGTTCCGCAGCCCCCTCCACGGTTTTGGTGAGGGTGCGGGGGCTTGGTGGACTCGGCCAAGTGCAAAGTGTACGTGTGCTTCGAAGGCCCTTTGGGTGCGCACTTACAGTCGGAGGGTCACAGGTTGACGAGGGCAGGCGGGAGGAAGCGGAGAAGCGGCGTTTTTGTTTTATCCCACGTACCTTTGCAAATTGGTTGCAGGCGTTCGCGATCATGGCCAGTGTCATTGGGGAGAAGGCTCCTGAGCATTGCTCGGCACTGTTCTGTTACCTTGACGCTATTAGCAAGGCTCACAGGGTTTAAGGGGGGAACGCATGAGCAGTTTTTGCAGCGGAGGGCTGTTCGCCTGTCGTTGAGTTGGGACCATAAGGACATTGGCCTTTGGGTGCGGCCCATGACTCCGGCGTGGGCCCCTGGTCCATTTTTTCAGGGCGGGGCCAGCGGTTCGTTCTCCCCGGGACAATCGACCTCAAAGTGTAGGGGTTTCTGCTGGCAATTCCAAGAGGGCGCTTGTCGTTTTGGAGAGTCCTGCCGTTTTAAGCACGAATGTTTCGGTTGCGGTGGCTCCCATCCTTTGTTTCAAGCGGGGTAGAGGCCTTCCCGGAGAGCATGCGGGTAAGAGGGACAACGTCGTTGAGGGTGGAAAGGATGCGGCCTTTCCTAAATAGATATCCATGCTGCAGTTTGAGTGGTGTTACCGCTCCGCAAACGCCCCGCAACCGCGTCGCAACCGCACCGCAAACGCCGGCCGGGCATTTGCGGAGCGGCACCATAGACAAAAATAAGAGGCTTCAAAGCCTCCTGACTCGTCCAGAGGCGTCCTTTTTGCCGCGATGCAACGCGACGCGACGCAAACGCTCCCGGTAGAACAGCACCATGTGCTGTAATGTGCAGAATTGGCAGAGGCGTTTGGGAAGCGGTAAAAACGCTTACCAAACGCCTCTCTGCCGCCTGCACACAAGGCTAGTGTGAACGTAGCCTTAGACAGAATCCAAAAAACTGCGTTTGAGAACTTGCGATTTATACACTTACGCATGTACATGCAATTATACATGTGTAAATTAAGTGTAAACAAAGGGGAAAAGTAAATTATCATAAAAACACGTTACATATGCATACACATCTTTACACATTTATACGTATCTATACACAAGTGTTTTACTGGTCATTATGCAGGAACTTTTCTCCTAGAAAACATTTGTATTAACATTAGTACTCTATAGCAGTCGTCTCCAAACTGCAGCCCGTGAGCCAAATGTGGCCCTTTGCGTCCCTGTATGAGGCCCTTGGGCACTGTTATTCCCACTGATATGAGGCAGTATTTCTCCCACTGACACCAACAATAAGTTACCATTCCTCCTACAGACACCACCTGTGGGATACTATTCCTCCCACTGACACCAATGATGGGGCACTATTCCTTCCACTGACACCAATGATGGGGCACTATTCCTCCCACTGACACCAATGATGGGGTACTATTCCTTCCACTGACACCAGTGATGGGGCAGTATTCCTTCCACTGACACCAATGATGGGGCACTATTCCTTCCACTGACACCAATGATGGGGCAGTATTCCTTCCACTGACACCAATGATGGGGCACTATTCCTTCCACTGACACCAATGATGAGGCAGTATTCCTTCCACTGACACCAATGATGGGGCACTATTCCTTCCACTGACACCAATGATGGGGTACTATTCCTTCCACTGACACCAATGATGGGGTACTATTCCCCCCACTGACACCAATGATGGGGCACTATTCCTCCCACTGACACCAATGATGGGGCACTATTCCTCCCACTGACACCAATGATGGGGCACTATTCCTCCTGCTGACACCAATGATGGGGCACTATTCCTCCTGCTGACACCAATGATGGGGCACTATTCCTCCTGCTGACACCAATGATGGGGCACTATTCCTCCTGCTGACACCAATGATGGGGCACTATTCATCCCATTGACACCAACCATGGGGTACTATTCCTACCACTGACACCAATGATGAGGTACTATTCCACCCATTCACACCAATGACGGGGCACTATTCCTCTCACTAACACCAATTATGTGGCACTATTCCTCCCACTGACACCAACCATGGGGTACTATTCCCCCCACTGTCACCAATGATGAGGTACTATTCCACCCATTGACACCAATGACGGGGCACTATTCCTCTCACTAACACCAATTATGGGGCACTATTACTCCCACTGACACCAATGAGGGGGCACTACACCCCTCCCACTGACACAGATGACAGGGCATTGATCCTCCTCCTTCTGACCACAGGCACTATGTAAGTTAACTATGGGAGTTTTCTACTCCCACTGGCCACAGTCTGGCCCCCCTAAGGTCTTAGGGGTAGTAAACCGGCCCTTTGTTAAAGTTTGGAGACCCCCTATAGCAGTGGTGGCGAACCCGTGGCACGCGTGCCACAGCCGGCACGCCGAGCCTTATCTGTGGGCACGCCAGGAGAATCCAGCGGCGCGCTGTCTTCCCGGCTGTAGTGTGCGTGACAGCCGGGTCCCAAGTGCGCATGCACAAGAAGCAGTGCTCCTTGTGAATGGTAAGGCGGTACCTGGGACACATGACAGATCCCAGAAGCCGCCGGACCAATCACAAAGCGCAGCGCTTCTCGCGCATGCGCACTGGGCATCCGGCTGTCCGACGAGCGCCCACACTACAGAAGCCGGGAAGACAGAGCGCGGCTGGATCGAGGAACAGGTAAGATAAAAAAAAAAAACTCTGCGGAAGTAAGAGCGGGTACCTGTCAAATTCAGGTACCCGCTCCCCCTCCCTCCCCAAAGGTCAGCAGTCATCCCTGTGCTGTGTCCCCAGTCTCTGGTCATCCCTGTGCTGTGTCCCCAGTCTCTGGTCATCCCTGTGCTGTGTCCCCAGTCTCTGGTCATCCCTGTGCTGTGTCCCCAGTCTCTGGTCATCCCTGTGCTGTGTCCCCAGTCTCTGGTCATCCCTGTGCTGTGTCCCCAGTCTCTGGTCATCCCTGTGCTGTGTCCCCAGTCTCTGGTCATCCCTGTGCTGTGTCCCCAGTCTCTGGTCATCCCTGTGCTGTGTCCCCAGTCTCTGGTCATCCCTGTACTGTGTCTGCAGTCTCTGGTCATCCCTGTACTGTGTCCGCAGTCTCTGGTCATCCCTGTACTGTGTCCGCAGTCTCTGGTCATCTCTGTACTGTCCGCAGTCTCTGGTCATCCCTGTACTGTGTCCGCAGTCTCTGGTCATCCCTGTACTGTGTCCGCAGTCTCTGGTCATCCCTGTACTGTCCGCAGTCTCTGGTCATCCCTGTACTGTGTCCGCAGTCTCTGGTCATCCCTGTACTGTGTCCGCAGTCTCTGGTCATCCCTGTGCTGTGTCCCCAGTCTCTGGTCATCCCTGTGCTGTGTCCCCAGTCTCTGGTCATCCCTGTGCTGTGTCCCCAGTCTCTGGTCATCCCTGTACTGTGTCCGCAGTCTCTGGTCATCCCTGTGCTGTGTCCGCAGTCTCTGGTCATCCCTGTGCTGTGTCCCCAGTCTCTGGTCATCCCTGTGCTGTGTCCCCAGTCTCTGGTCATCCCTGTGCTGTGTCCCCAGTCTCTGGTCATCCCTGTGCTGTGTCCCCAGTCTCTGGTCATCCCTGTGCTGTGTCCCCAGTCTCTGGTCATCCCTGTGCTGTGTCCCCAGTCTCTGGTCATCCCTGTGCTGTGTCCCCAGTCTCTGGTCATCCCTGTGCTGTGTCCCCAGTCTCTGGTCATCCCTGTGCTGTGTCCCCAGTCTCTGGTCATCCCTGTGCTGTGTCCCCAGTCTCTGGTCATCCCTGTGCTGTGTCCCCAGTCTCTGGTCATCCCTGTGCTGTGTCCGCAGTCTCTGGTCATCCCTGTGCTGTGTCCCCAGTCTCTGGTCATCCCTGTGCTGTGTCCGCAGTCTCTGGTCATCCCTGTGCTGTGTCCGCAGTCTCTGGTCATCCCTGTGCTGTGTCCGCAGTCTCTGGTCATCCCTGTGCTGTGTCCGCAGTCTCTGGTCATCCCTGTGCTGTGTCCGCAGTCTCTGGTCATCCCTGTGCTGTGTCCGCAGTCTCTGGTCATCCCTGTGCTGTGTCCGCAGTCTCTGGTCATTCCTGTACTGTGTCCGCAGTCTCTGGTCATCTCCTGTACTGTGTCCGCAGTCTCTGGTCATCTCCTGTACTGTGTCCGCAGTCTCTGGTCATCCCTGTACTGTGTCCGCAGTCTCTGGTCATCCCTGTACTGTGTCCGCAGTCTCTGGTCATCCCTGTACTGTGTCCGCAGTCTCTGGTCATCCCTGTACTGTGTCCGCAGTCTCTGGTCATCTCTGTACTGTCCGCAGTCTCTGGTCATCCCTGTACTGTCCGCAGTCTCTGGTCATCCCTGTACTGTGTCCGCAGTCTCTGGTCATCCCTGTACTGTGTCCGCAGTCTCTGGTCATCCCCTGTACTGTGTCCGCAGTCTCTGGTCATCCCTGTACTGTCCGCAGTCTCTGGTCATCCCTGTACTGTCCGCAGTCTCTGGTCATCCCTGTACTGTCCGCAGTCTCTGGTCATCCCTGTACTGTGTCCGCAGTCTCTGGTCATCCCTGTACTGTGTCCGCAGTCTCTGGTCATCCCTGTACTGTGTCCGCAGTCTCTGGTCATCCCTGTACTGTGTCCGCAGTCTCTGGTCATCCCTGTACTGTTAATTAGTTTGCACTACTGTACGAGTTGTTTTTTCTAAACCAAAAGCTCGATATTCAGGCATTGCAGTGTTGGCACTTTGAAAGAAATAAGTTGGTTTTGGGTTGCAGTTTGGGCACTCGGGCTCAAAAAGGTTCGCCATCACTGCCCTATAGTAACCTTTCTTCTGCTTCATTTTGATTGCATGTAAATAGTGGATTCCGAGCAGAAGCAACGTGCCGTCATTGAATTTTTAAAAGTAGGGGTTTCATACTTACCTAGGTGGATGCAGCATCGGTCCAATGCTACATCTGTCCCCCGCAGGCTCTAAGGGTGAGAACTCGCTGAGTTCTCACAGCCGCTCTGAGCAGACAGTGGGACTGTCAGTCATTGCTGCCTGCTCAGCCCCCCACTGTGCTCACTGGAGCACTGGGCTGTGGAGGGAGAGGGAGCTCAGGCTCTCAGTGGCTAGCTGAGAGGCTGAGCCAGATGCCACTTCAGACTCTGGGGTGGATCCTGACTTTAAAGTCAGGAATGGATCTTTCTCCAGCCTGGATACGCTGAGTGACGTCAGTGGGGTCACAGATATGTTAAAAATGGGTCACAGGACTGCAGAATGAACTGCGCTCCTGTGATCCACAGAAGTTCAGTCAAAAGAGCTTTGACTGTACTTCTCCTACAACAAACGAGGAGTGCAGGCTGTGTGACATCCACAGAAGGCTACAGAATGTTGACACCAATGACGAGAGTTGCCAATGACATGACATGCTCACGCCATGTCTCACAAACATCAGAGATGAGGGGATAAAGAGGGTACAGAGTCCAGAATGTAAGGAGAAACCTGTGCATAGTTCCCAATGCAATATATCCCCAGGGGATCAGTTTGTCTTTGGTGGCTCTGACTTCCTTCCATTTTCAGATACATCCACTAATTTAGGAGCACCCTGCTTCAGTTCATTTGTGACAAGGAAGTTTTTACAGGCGTACCTCGGTTTACAAATGTAATGCATTCTCCCGGACGTTTTGTAAAATTCATAAACCGAAACGCAGTTTCCCATAGGAATGCATTGAAAGCCAATTAATCCATTCTGGAGGTCAGAAAAATGTAAAAAAAAGTCTTATCTGTTCAAAACTCTTTATAAAGTGCACTTTAAAGGCATAAATACTGTACAAGGACATGATTAAAAAAACATTTTTAAATGCATTGAAAAACAATCCGTTCTGGAGGTCAGAAAATAAAGTAAATAAAAGTCTTATCTGTTCAAAACACTTTATAAAGTGCGCTTTAAAGGCACAGGGCAGCGCTATAAACCTTCCAGGTGCAATGCATCCTTGAGAAACTTCGTATTGCGAAAAAAAATTTGTAAACCGAGGCATTATTTTCAGTGGGTTGTCATTCGTAAACCAAAAATTATGTTAACCAAGGCATTGGTATGTCTGTATTTGCTATTGCTGGGGTACAGCTTTCTGGGATACTTGCTGGTTTGGACTGGCTTGGTCACAACCAGTAGAATCCCCTTCCCCCACCTCCCCCCTCCATCTTAACAGATGAAGTACTAGGGGAAGAGAAAGTGGAGGAGAGGAGTAGTCCCACAGAAGAAAACACGGCAGGCGTGGGGGAACCATTACCTAGGCCACGGCTACCAGCATAGGGTTAATCCTGGGCACTCACCAATCTCGCTTCAGGACTCCCCCTAAGGGGGTCCAATCTTTACCCATACCAATAATCATGTGTTTCAAGGGCCTTCAGGGACTTAACTCCCCTGCAGGGGACCAATGCCCTGGACCTCTATAGCACCCTACTGGTCCACAAAGCAATATATCATTGCACAAGGTCCCATCAAACAGGGTCCAATGCAGACCAGCAACATTACAGGCTATTCCTGAGTGTCCAGTGCCAGTCCAGGTACCATTTCTCTGAGCATAGAAAAAGACGTAGGACATGGATCCATATGTCTCCTAATTCAAGCTGGAACCTTGTAAAAGCTAGCTATTTTCATGCAGAGAATTGCATCAACTAGGACACTAGCAACAAAAACTGGAGCCTGGCCCGATGAAGAGGGGTTATATCTGGAAGGGACTTCCTGTTTTTGCTTTTAGTCAATGACCATTAATCTGAAGGTATCAGCATAAGCCTATCATTATGAATTTGAAGATGCTCTGTGTCCTCGGATGTACAAAAAAGAAGTAAATATTTCTTTCTCTGGGGAAATAAAATGATAACTGCTGCACATTGGTGTGAACAGGCTCTATACAAAGCAAGGCTTTTTGCCTTGTCTTTGTGTTTGGCCTGCATTGGGCAACACAGCCCAACAGGGCTTGTGCAAACAAGCCTTGAGATCTAATTGTCCAGAAATGTCTTAAGGGTTTTCTTTGCATTCCTCTGGATTCACAGAACATCAATTCCCAAAGCAGGCCACAGAGAGCCTCACATATTGGTGAATCAGTCAAATGACTGCACCATGTTTGGCACACACCAAAGGCTATTATTGTGATCTACTACAAACCTTTTGTAATTTATTTAACTACTGTAGTACTTGCTGCTAAATTAAGATATTTTAATTTACAATTGTATTCTTATGACTTGCCTAAAAATTCTGTGTTTCTATGCTACATGTACAAACACCAACCATGATTTCTCAAGTAGTGCCTGGCTAACCGATTTGGGTCCTAATAGAAGAGATTGACTCTCAGTCCCTTCTATTCCCTGCCAATACAAATGAATGCAGGAGCATAGAGATTCTTCCAAGTGATTGTCTGCATGTTACTAGAGACTATCATAGGCTGTTACAGTGAATAAAAAAAAAATATACACCTATATCACCTATAATAATCATTTTCAATTTGTAAAAAACTAACATTGTGTTTAGGTTCTATTCCTGTAATAGCTGCAAATAAAATATTTTAGTACCTGCAAAATTTTTGAGCTGAGAAAGGACGCCATGTAGCACTTAGTATATAAGCACAAATCATGCATCCAGTCAAGGAGACTATGCAGAATTATAATGTAAAAATTATTGAAAACATCAAATACCTATATGTACATATGAGACATTGAGCTGATTGCAGGACTAAGTGTAGACAGCATCTCCTGAAGCTGGTGGTTCACTAGCCCCTTAGGGGCCACTGGATTTGATTTGGGTCCCCCTATGCTCTGCACAGCCAGGCAACACACATTTTTCACTCTCTGCACACTGGAGTCAAAGAACAGTCTTGGAGCTTGATTTTGTGATTTTATTAAGGGGTTAAGAGCTTGGATGGGGTCTATTGGTATATGGGATGCCCAAGGAACTGCAGAACTGGGGACAAACTCCTTAGCAACTATGTACAAAAATATGAATAGCAACAGTCTTGTTCCTTGAAGAGCACACAGGGCTCTTTCTAGTGTACCTCCTCAGCCCCCAAATGATTCCTTCTCTTCACCCAGCTACACTGAAGTATTCCCTGGGCAAGGATACTCAAGAGCTGTTAATTTAGAACAGTCCCAGATGAGAAGCTAGTTGAGTGTTGCACCTGACTGCCCTCTCCCCTTATATGGCTCTAGGGGTGTAAGAGTACTCCCACTGTCCTCTTCTGTTAACTTGGTGGGTTGGTGGCTGCCTTCACGCTGTAAGCTGGGCTGGCTCATTCCCTGCTACACAAGCTGTCCTCTCTGGGAGATGTTGAGGCAGTGGAGATCTGTCACGTACTCGCTAATGGTAGCTCTATGGATCCACAGTCCGGGATTCCCCAGGGCGCAGAGTCTAAGCCCCAGTCTGCTTGTTCACCAGAGCCCCTGATGGTGGGGATGGACTTGGAGCAGGCTGAGACCAGGTCACGGCCCCCCCGGGTACACCCAACTGTAGTAGAGAAGGCCGCCCGCGGGACGTAGCTGGATAAGAGCCTGATGTGAAGAGGCAGGGCAGACCTGAGCGGTAAACGGATGGATCCGTGCAGGATGGATGGATGCGGACACACCGTGAAGCAAGTAGC